AATTCTGAATTGCAAAGTGGAAAAATCAGGCCCAGGTGGGAGAAGAGATAACAGGAGCTAATCATGTGCTAACTGCTTTGGGGGAGAATGAGCACAATCCAGTTTAAAGCCTCATTTTAAATTATTCCTGTGCACTAATTTTCTGCTTCATTTTATTGACATAATTGATGCTACATTTCAACACATCTTGGAAATACACTGCAATAAGCATCTTTTCTTCTGATACAGGGTGGGTTTTTTTCAAATAAATAGCAAAGAAATTATAATTTATTACACTATTTTTCACATGAAAGTTGATTTATGTTTATGTGTTTGGGTTTTTTTTCTGTGTTTCCTCTCTGTAAGCAAACACTGAATTCTAAAATCAAGTCAGTATCGTAGTGTCCACAGTGTATTACTATGCTGGCAAGCTTGGCATTCCAGTGGTACGTGAGAGTGTCCCGAACACACCTTAGTTCAGAGAGAGAGACTTGACACAGGTGGCCAGAGGTATAGAAGTTACAACCGTATTTCTCGGAAATATGTACTGGAGTACCTAGGGGGAAATAAATGTTGGCAGGTGTAAACACCAGGAAATTCTACAGCATCCTCGTGCTGGGAAAAAAAAAAAAAAGAAAGTATAAAAATCAAATTAAACTGAGGCTCCTGACTGTCCACTAAAGCACAACTGTTTCCTCCGTGTGGAAAACCTGTGCCCAGCACGCCCGTGTTCTGGCTGCCGTGGCAGGTCTTGGGAGCAAAACTTTGTTCTACGGGCAGCATAGATGTGCTGAGTTAATGCTGGGGCTCTGGGTGCATGTTGCTTAGAGCTATTTCCAACGGCAGAGTTTTACAAAGTAATTATTATTTACCTTGGTGGTGTGGGTGCTGTAATAAACACCAGGTGACTTGATGAAGATGACCGAGAATGACGTCGAGCCTGCCATTAGAGCTCCATGTTCCTAACCTGGGGAACAAATGTGACTGTGACTGTAAATCTATCAGATTGCAGAAAAAACCCTGTTCTTGATGTTAAACCTCCTCTACTTCAAGTTTTGTAACGAGCTCAGCCGTCCAATGGAATGGAGACAAATACTCTGCTGGAGGGTGAGGTACCGTGCAGCTGTTCCGATGACAAACGCCGTAGATAAAGTCACATTTCTGTGTTCCTGCAGGTAGACAGTCCAAAGATCGTGCCTCTTTCAGTGCAAAACACAATGGAACAGCATTAGATAAACCTGGTTTCCTGGCAGAAATTGCCATAAATTTCTCAGTTGGAAGTCCTGCATAACACCAAGGAAATCACTAAACAGGCCCCTGATGTACATTAGCACAAATGAGTGCAGAATGGCTATCGTAGACATTTTTGTCTTTTCCCTTCTCCTTTCACTGTGTTGTGTATTATTCTTCAAGAATATAGGAGAAGTTATTAAAGGTGATTCACCAGATTCCTTTAGGTTCAGGTTTAAAGGCAGTCTAACAAAACAGCACTACAAATTCGTGCTGGACGTGCCTTTCCTGCAAGGCTGCTTCAAAGCACCACAGTTCTTTACAAAAAAAGAGCGTGAAAATGTTTAAATTGCGATCGCCATTAGTTTCTTTTTCTCTCTCAGATTCTGACATCTGGTTAATGCGGTCCTCGGGTCGGCTTGTAATGGACTCACGACAGCTCTGCACCTTGTAAACCTTGAATCCGAAGGTAAACCTCCTGACCCTGGGCACCTGTGGATTCTCTCCCTGACTGTTTGTGCCCTGAACGTTGTTGGTTGCAATTCACGGTCTTTTTTTTTGGTTTATTTTATTTTCAGTCCTCTGATGCAGTCACCTCAGTACGGAAGAGTCTGTTGGGCTGCCAAAGCCAAAAGACAACCTACAGCAATTCTGAGGCGTGGAAGAGACTTAGCAACCTTTGGGATTATTGCTTAGCAACTGCAAACACAGAGAGGAGTAAAACTCACAGCCCGGCTCCACCGCAGGTCTGAGAACTCCCTAATTCACTTGAGGATTTTTAATGGTTGCAAACGGATGGGTATATACTAAATTCCTGTTTATTGGCAAAGCCACTTTGAAAGCGGGAAGAATAAGATCTATTTTGATACCTGCTCCAAAGGTAAGAAAAACGGTTCTTCAAAGCTTCAGAAAGCAAGAGAGAAAGTCTTTTTAAATTTTAATTGTATCACAGAGAAGATTGAGTATGAAAAGGGTGTTGGGCTGTTTGTGATTGGTGCGGTAAGCATGCTCTAGGAAGCACGTTAGGGAAAGGCAACACTATTTCTGAGCGATTGAGCGTCGGCAAGATTGGACCCTGGTTTTGGAAAGACTTTTGGAACTCAAACATCTCCAAAATATTTACCGAGACAAACTTCAGTCTTTCCTGGCCCTGTCCCACCCATCACAATCCCCTAACAGATCAACAATGAAACCATAAACATCTTCTTTATGAGCAGATTTGGGTTGTGTACAGAAAATGGGGAGATAATCTTTTTGTATTTTTATATTTCTCTCACGGAAAAAGAGCCAGGAAAGTGGCATCCTGCTAAATAATGAAAAGCTTAGCTTGCCTTCAGCTTGAACAAAGGCTTATAGGAAACTTTAGATCACATTTCACGTTTCCTGGGTGTTTCTAAAGCTTGTCTCCATGCACCATGCTTACTAATATTTGGATAATCAAGCCTCCACTTGGGAATGTCATAGGCCTTGAAAGCTCTGTATATCGTGGGCCAAATTCTCAACCAGTGTAAGTCAGCACTGGAGTTTAGGAGCCAGTGGTGTCTTGTGCAAACTGGAGGCGTCTGCCTGTAATCCTCCACAAATTTTAAGTTTCCGGGCCGGATTCTAGCACTGTGTTGCTGTTCATTTTAACCGTTACGTGCTGTTTGCATGTTCTTCCATACCCTCTTACTCCTCTTGATCTGCCCTGCTGTAAAGCAGTGGGCACAGTTCCCTGTGCTTTGCTTCCATTCTTGGAGTTACGCGGACGCCATGGAATTGAGACAGAACAGCCGCACTTTGTTTTGTTTTGGTTTGTTTCAGAGAAACAGAGATACTTTATAAACATTTAGTGGTTCTCAAAATCATCCCAACAAGTGGTTGAGAGCAGTGTAGAAAAGACACTCATGGTCGTTTGGGATCCGCCACCTCAGAAAGCAGAGTGCGGCTGTCGTTGCAGCATTGCGCAGGGACTGCAGGGCGGTTTCATAAAAGACGTTAAAAAATAACGTGAGTCTTTGAAACTGCAAGAACAGTTTATTTTGGCACGACAAAACCAGCTGATGTGGAACGTGACCAGAACATTTGGTTAACACCCTGCTTTGAGCCAGAGAGAGTCTGGTTTTACAGCTCATTGAAAGAAACTCGCCTAAGCAAGGAACAATTTGACAGGTTTCCCGTTCTGCCGTTATAAATCTGGACTCCTTTACAGCTCGTGTCCTTTGGTGGCAAAACCAGCCACCACCTTAAAACCCTCTGTGTGGGTCAGGCAGGCAGCATGATCCATAAATCCATCTCACTCCCCAGCAGGTGATCATCTTGGAAAACAAATTACCAGATGGGCCAACAAGCCCATCAGGAAACCGGAGAAATTTAGTGCTGTGGAGCATCCTACCCATCCAAGCAGTATTTGGACTCAAACAGTGGTTCTGCACCAGAAGGTCAATATATTTAGGAATTACGTGTGTGTGCCAGGAGGGCTGTAGATCACGTTTGTGCATTTCCTGGAAGGCTGATCTCTCTTCAGAACATCTTAAAACGTGAAGAGCAAAACATATCAAAAGCAACGGTGTCTCTGTGGAGACTGAAAGGCCGTAGTAAAAAGCACTTTTTCAGACGAGCTTGAAAAGGATAGCGTGGCAGTAAGTTCAGAGGGGAGTTTCATCTGTAATGTGGAAAGGCGTGAGGCGCTCGCTGTTGATTCCACCCTTCCCTTGCTGTTGATTAACACTGAGCTGGGTTTTTTGCATCACGCTGGTGCTTTTTCATGCTTCAAATCTACAATTCTATGATCATGTCCCATTACAGATGCAGACAGTCACGTGTGGACACATACAGCGGTAGTTTTCAAGCTGGGCCTTGTGTGCAACTCAGTTTCTTCCTGATATTTCACAGAATGAACATTTTGAGAAGAAAACAGTGCAGTTTGGGAAATTGTAAAGGGAGATAACCTGCAACTCTCTGTAGGTCTGTCTTTTACAGAATAATCTACAAGATTAAGTGCTTGTGAACAGCTTAATTACAGAGTGCACGGTGTAGAGTTTCCCTTTCTGTAGGAGCTCTCCCGACACATACATCTCTGTCCTCATTACCTCAGCAAAATATCCACAGGAAAAAAGAGTTGCCAAAGTTGAAATTAAGTAGTCTGTGGGACCAGCTTCCTCGCTGTTTTTCACAGCTGCAGAAAAGATGAAGCAGAAGGTGGTGTGTAGAGAAATGTTGCTCCTAGGCATATAGCATTTTCCATGACTTGCTTCCTTTGTCTCATATCCACTGGATTTCCTGGGGGCATGGAGTGGGACCTAAACAGAAATAGTGATACCGGGGGTAAGAGGAATCCACTGGGTAGAACTGGGGGACAAGACTTCAAAGCACCGTTCACCACTTGGGCTCTGAGTCTCTAAGTGAACTGGAATTAATCACTTCTTTTCTGTGTCTCAGTTTCTTCTCCCATACGGAAGGAACACACTTATTTAGTTGCTCTGTCTCCAAGGGCTGTTGTGATACATAATTAATCTTTATAAATCATTTACTCATCTTTGAAGTAAAGGGGCTGTATTTTAAGAGTACGGAGCAGCAGTAACAGAGTAAAAAAGGAACACAGAAAAACAATATTAGTTAATTCCCAACAATAGACATTTTTTTCTTGTGTTTTCTTCTAGGACACCGCTGCACCTCTTGGCGTTCTGTAACACGCTGCTTCTGTTCTCTGTCACAGTGACGGAAGGATGGCTGCTCAGCCAGAAGCAGCAGCCGAAGCTGCAGGTCTAAAACATCTCAGACTCGGAGATAAGAATCTGACTGACATGGGAATGAAGAGAAGCGAGAGGAATGATGAGCGGCCATGTCTTAGTAATTCTGCTCCGTGGAAAAAGTGTTTTTATGAAAAGGTACAGCAGAGGTGTCTGAGTCTGCAGGAGACAAAGGTGGAGACGATTCGTGCGCAAAAGGCAAAAGAAGAAAAGGTAAAGGAGAGAGAACCCTGTGACTGGCTGTCCAAAGAGTGGCTCAGTGAAGAGAAAGAGTCACTGGATACCCGCATCTATTTGCTTGACAAACTCTTACCTACGTTAATCCCCGGGATGGAAAAACTGTTAATGGAGGTGGAAAGAAAGAATTTGCTTGCACCAGAGAAAGAACCAACCACCTTTAACCCCATTCATTTCCTTGGAGAATATCTGATGAGACATAACCCTCGGTATGGTCCTTCTACAAAACCGGACCCGTACCTGATAGGAATGAAGATGGTCACGGAGGAGCTAAAAACTAGGGTGCCAGGTACAACATCAGAGAGGTGAGAGAGTTAAAAGCGTGGCTGGTCACATGACCAGAACTGGTCTCTGGTTTACAGAGGGAATGGTGTGACTGCAGCCTGGCTGGCGAAGTGTCCAACAAAATGAACTTTTGGGGGACAGTGCCAGAGATGGTAACTGTTTCATAAAACATTGAGAAGCAGGAAAAGTGCCAGGACATGCCACAGAAAATGAAACACTAGTTATTCCTGTGTAAGGCAACATTCTGCCCTTCACAAGTGTGCAATTCCTCTTTAGACTCAATCTTAATTACACGTGGGGAATGCAAACTGCTTTCAAACCAGTCTTGGTTAGTGACAGCAGTTCTTTGGGACAGGTGTTGGGATCAAAGGTCTGTGGACTCTTCAGTTCATTTCTTCTATATTCTTCCAAACTTAATAAAAAAACCTTGTTTCTCCTCCTTTAGAATGATTTCTCTTGACCAAACCAACATATTGTCCTGGCACATTGTAGAAACACCTTTTCCTGGGTTTTTTACTTAGGCATTCCTTTCAGATTATTTTTTTTGCTTTAAAGTGCAAAGTGGTTTGTATTTCATTATTTTGCTTATTTCCAGGGTATATTCTCAGCTGCTTCCTTTAGTGTAACATCTAATGAGTATTGGAAGGGGGTTCTGTGGCATCTTAGAATATGCTGAGATTAGAATGTGAGTGCATTAGGTGAACAATAACGCTTCCATTCTCATTGCTTTATTCAGAAAAATATAGAAGTGAACATTTGTGTTTATAGATGACCCAGAGGTGATTGTAAATGATGTCAAAATTACTCATTCACTACTAGATCACTTTATTCTAGATGTGTGCTGGTAGAATAATGACTTCTATTTGAATAGCTGTCTCTTCTATTTGCATAAATAGTACAAACAGCTTGAAAATTGGTTTCAGGGTTTCAGTGTCAGGAATTAGGGAAGGAAAATGTTGACATGTCTTATGCATAAACTCTAAATGAAGATAATTGACATTCCCAGTATTATAATGAATAAAAGAAAACATTAAATCTCTCTCTCTACTGCTCTGAGTTTCCATCACACTGTATTTCTATGACTGACTGTGGTCAGTGTGTAAGTCAGCGTGCTCAGCCTTTGGGGTTTTCATCCCCAGGAGACACACAGTGGTACAACCAGAGCCAGTAAAAGATTTTCCATTTTATTTTCTAAATGCTGGGCCGCTGAAACAAATGACCTTGGGAAACATCTTCTATTTCGGTGAGCATTCACATCATTCACTGTCCGGGGAGCACCTCGAGGGCGCCAGCTTTGCTGCACCTTTGTTTTGGGGAGTGCTTCACCATTCATATTGCTTCACAGAGGGACATCTGGATGCAGGAAGTTGAGAAGCCCATCTCGTTTTTATTTTGCAACAGAAATTTAATTAAAATACATTAAATTTCCTGGGTGTGGGGTTGGTTTTTTGTGGTTTTTTTGGGGGTTTGGTTTTTTTTTTTTTTCTGCTAAAATACTCTTAGCTTTCATTGTGAATCAGAGCTCATTTCTTCATGGGGAGGTCAGGTTTTCCTGTAGAATGCAAAGTGTTGGCTACTAGTGACGTGTCATCTTGGACTTGGCTGCTAATTCCATGTTTACATTTGGAGACAGGGTCTCAATTTGTAGCTATCAGAGCTGATGCAAAGAAGTGACTATCAAGACTTGTCAAAATCCATCTGTAGACAGCACTGCCACGGGGGTTTATGTAGCCGTAGCTGTAGCTGGCTTTGCATACCCGCTGGTAGTAGTATCATGGGATTTGCATTCACAGCAGCTCAGGATTTACATATTTGTGATGGCTGTATTGTGGGATTTGCATAGGATTCTTAAACCGCAGCAGCACAGAGGGTTTTGCAGACACCGCGTGGCACTGAGGCTCCTAACGTGAGTCACTGGTGTTCTGAACAGGAAAAAAACGTTACAAGAGAAATGCCAGTCTGGGCTCAAAATCTCTCACATAAGCACCAGGAGTGAAATTTTGGTCCCCGTGAAGCTCCCAGGAGCTCTGACATTGCTTTCAGGAAAGGCAGGATTTCATCACATCTAAAGCTTTCCAGCTCTCTCAGGCTTCCTCCAGTCTCTCCTTAAATGCCACCTGACTGGGACTCAAGGCATGCAGGAGAACAGATGGAATTCCTTATCCAGATGGATTGATACCTGAAACAGAGACTTTATTTGTCCAGGGATGGTAGTCCTTCAGTCTGAGTCACCCATCCTTGTGTGGGAGTTAGGCGGATATCTTCCTGAAGCAACATGTTTCATTCTGCAGGGAGAAGTCACCCTCGCTGCCATCTCATCCTTTCTGGAAATGTCTGATACTGAAACGAGCTCCCTTTGCAACGGGAGACCAGCACGGTCTCAACCTGTTTGTTGTCAAGGGGAGAAGCATTTTGTCCCACACCGGGGACACCAAGCAGAGGATGCAGCTGCCTGGAGTTTTAGGACCCTAGAAAGAAATGCAAATCTGCAGCACAGTGCAGGTGCCCGCAGTGTAACTTGTGCTGGGCACTGCCCAGATTCATCAGCAGAGCAGCCTGGCAACTCCTGGCATGGCCTGAGCTCTGCTTTACATGCATATATTGGAGAAAAAACTGTTAGTCCATTTAGTTTGGTGCCTGCTACGGACCTGCTCTTTGCTGTGTCTGGGAAGGAGTCACAAGATAGAGGCTGGGAGAGTTGGGGTGTTCAGCCTGGAGAAGGGAAGGTTCCAGGGGGATCTTAGACCCCCTTCCAGTACCTGAGCAGCTACAAGAAAGCTGGGGGGGGACTTCTTCCAAGGGCAGGGAGTGACAGGACAAGGGGTAATGGGTTTAAATGGGAAAAGGGCTATTGAGATTGGACATCAGGAAGGAATTCTTCCTGGAGAGGATGGGGAGCACTGGGACAGGTTGCCCAGAGAAGCTGTGGATGCCCCATCCCTGGAAGTGTCCAAGGCCAGGCTGGATGAGGCTTGGAGCAACCTGGTCTATGGAAGGTGTCCCTGCCCATGGCAGGGGGTGGGACTGGGTGGGCTTTAAGGTCCCTTCCCACCCAAACTGTCCTGTGATTCTGTGATTTATGCTTGGAAATTATCTCGCTCTTCCCCTGCAATCAAAGTGCCGGGCGCTGAACTGTCTCAGTGGGCACTTGTGCAATGCCCATGACTAGCTAAGGAAGCCAGTTATTCGTTGAGAAACCTCGGTGATAAGTGGCCATGAAGAACGCATCGCTAGTGACAAAACTGACTGTGATGAAAGCGTATCACTGCAAGGTGTTAAACAGGCCTTGTTGTTCATTGAAGAACAACATCATTGGTCTATAATTCCTAGGATGACCCCACAGCAACAGAAGGAGCAGGGATAGGATCAGCCCATCTTCACGATGTGCGAAACACAGAGGGAAGAAGGGTGCAGAAATCCCTAGTTAAAGTGTAGTTTCTGGACTAGTGTGTTCTCAGGTACAAGAGAGGAGCGATGCCCCTTACTCAGAGTAGCTACACCCAGTGTAAGTGAGAGCCACGGAGGTGAGCAGGGCAGTGCTCTCCATGCAGAGATTCCAGCAACCTCCCTGAGCAGGATCTGTTCTCCCCTGTGAACGGATCCCTTGGCTTTAAGCATTTTGAACTTCCTAAATGTTTTTTTTCCACTTCATAAATGAACAAAGTCAAAACCAAAGCAGATGAGTTCTATTGGATCATTTTTTACTCAGTTCTTTTGTCGTTTGAAACGGAGGATTGGGAAGAACATGGCTGGGTGATGAGAGAAGCAAAGGAAATGCAGGGAAGAGGAAAGGGAGGGACTTCTAGTCCAAGCTTGCATACTGTGTACGTTCAAAATGACGGGCAGGTTGGAGTATTATCCCCCTCCTAAGGCAGCAAGGGCTTTACTGTGTGAGACTGCTTAGAAATTCCACTGAACATTGTTCTTTGCCAGTGAAGTGCCTATGTGAAATGGTACTTAGGCTTTGCGACAAACACATCCTGATGCAATTTTGTTGGTAAATCAAGTGTAGCAAAATTAGACACCTCTGTTCCTGCGGAAATTGAAAGGATATTAAGGACATTAACACAATAAATGATTAATGCCATGATAAAGGTGAAGGTAAAATTCATCCCTGTTGAAACTACACAAACAAGGAGAACTGTACAGGTGATTTTCCCTTAAATGTCTACCGTATCCTCTACAAGAGGCTCTCTCCACATGCATGGATCTGACACTCAGAGGTTATTATTCTTAGATGCAGAGTTTCACTAGATTTCAGGAGATGATACATGTAGGAATACAAATACTCTCACCTCCTTGGAGTTAACCTCTGAAAACGCAGATTATTAATATCCAGTCCAGCAGCCACACTAGTAACGTGGTGCCCCAAACATCAAGTGTTTCCTTGGAGAGAAATCTGCTTGTAATAAAAGGACAAGAATTTCAGCAAGAAGTTATTTCCTTTCCTTTTGTTCTTTGGGTAAACTTAATCTATCTTAAATATGTTTGTGAAGATATCTTTCTAAACCATATTCCCATGTCCTACAGGCTGGCCAGGATGAAGTTGGAGGCCAAGAACAAACGTAAGGATCGGGAGCAGGTGGACAATATGATGTCTCAGGTGAAAGAGAAGAGAAAGGAGGCTCTGGCGATTGTGTTCAGAGAGTGGACAGTGGATGTCAGTGGCAGAATACCGGTCGCACTGGTAAGTATGGATCATCCTTCTTAACACACAGCTATGGTTGTTCCAGGCAGGAGGAAAAGGAAGATTGTGACAGTGCTGTCTGCACTGGCATGGCAGCATGGAGCACAAGGATGGGGAAAGGCTCTGACATCCCTTAAGGTCAGGGTGCAGGTCGCTGCCTACCACTTGGCTTCACCCAGCCCTGATTCCCCACGAGCATGTGGAAGGATTGCAGTGCACTCTCCACAGAGGTCCTGGGAAGCTAAATGCCCCGTGATACACTCCTGAGGTGGTTGGATGCATGATTCATCACTGGATTCCTTCTCTGCAGCTGGTTATCCCTCAGAATCCCCCTAAAGAGATCCGGAGCAGCCACTTTTGGTCTCCTGTGGCCACCATTAAATCTTTTTTCTACCCCTGTGATTCATGCAAATGGGTACTGCAGCTCATAAAAGATGAGATTTGCAGTAATTATAATACATCTCTTGGTACAAGTCTCTTTCTTACAAGTCACTCAAGGCCCCTAGGAAATTGTCCTGTGGTTACACAGAGTGCACCACAGACAAGGTCTACATTTAACAGGGCCCACCTGTGTGAGGGAGGAGCATTGCTGGCCCATATGACTAATTATCCCAGCTGATTTATTTTAGTAATTGCCTACTGTTGTCTGCATGAAACAGGCCTTTGACTATTACCTTGATTTGTAGGTTCAGAGTGCCCTGAGGTCTTTTCCAGATGTCACTGCTCCTACTCCCATAGATGTGAGCAAAGGTAAGTTTTCAGTGTGTCTTCTTTAGTTTTGTTTCTGTGGTCTGAATTCTGCTGCAAGCTGTGAGCAGTGAATGGCTTTGATAACAAAGAGTCTCTAAGGGTAGTTACACCAGCTAGGATCTTAACCACAGAACTTCAGGCAGATTGGGAAGAGACTGAACCACCATGTGGCTCATTAATATGATACTGAAATAGTACAGGGAGAGGTTTAAACACCTTTCAGAGGGAGAGAAAGATCAAGTGCAAGCCATTCACTATATCCTGCTTTAGACAAACATTGTTTATTACCTTTTATGGTTTCAGGGGAAATGCTGAAGCTTACCTGGTGCTCCCCCAAAGCGCAGATCTTGTCTAGCTGTTCCCTTCGCCCAGGCGTGTCAGTCACACGGGCCTCTATCACAGCACTCAGCACAGGGAGATCTCCATAATTCCTGTCCACTTTACACAGTTCACACTTGACCTCCCCGAATAATGATAATTGAATATACAGAGCCAGGAACATCTAAGTGGCAACATCTAGCCTGCTGACAGCCCTGTACATCCATAGCCTGTAATGATCCCCAATAATAACTAATCTGCCTCTGCTGGAAGATGCGATGATGCGCAGGGAACCTCCAGAGTGCATTTCAGCTCGCTGCTGAAGTCACCCCTGTCTAGAGCTTGCCCTTGCTCAGCCCCTTCTATATTACAGAATTGCTCCTCTGAGTAATCATCCTCTACGGGCGTACGTTGTGCGGAGGCTGAACACAGCCCTTGTGCTCCTGCTGCTGTGGCTCTCGCGTGGGAACGGGTACTGGGACACGAGAGGGAGAGGGAAGCTTCTGTCTAGATGCTCGTGCTGCAGATGCTGGAGGTGCTTTATGTCATATTTCACTGACAGCGGCTCCATTTCTTAATGTGTTTCACTGACCAGCATCAATATACATTAATGGAATGTTAAGTTTTGTTTTATAGTTTAATAAAGAGAATGTACAGGTTAGGAATGTCTTAAACTATAAGAGATAAATGCATTCAGTGGTGAATTTTCTCTTTATTCCTGTTCTGTTGTAGAAGAAAGAACAGAAAAATAATCCCAACAGAAATAGCATGTCTGTGCTCAAAGACCTCATTCAGAAATCTGTGTGGACATTTGACACACCTTCCCAGGGCCATTATAGCAGCCCTGAAGCTGCCCAAAAGACAGTTTTGTATCTCATCATCAGTAAAAATATTCCCACAGAGCTTCTTGGGAAAATTACTGACTTTCAGATTCCACTCTTGCAAAGCAAAATCCATGTCCCCAGATTTTTAATGCTGTTTCATCTGTTTGTTACATCAAAAATCATTTCTTCCCTCAGATAACTAGGTGTAAGTACTGTTAAAATCACTGCAATGTGCCCCAACATATCAAGAATAAATATGACCGTGCAGTTCTGAATAGATGAGTGCAGATTCTCAGCAAGAGAAATATGTGAGAAGCAGGATTCAATGGCCTCCGTACAGTCAGATGCTTCAGCTATTGTGTGGGATAACCTCACATAAATGTGACCCAGCGTGAGAGGAAAGTTAACGGGACATAACAGTGTGGAAAAAGAATGTGTACAATATGCAAACCCACAACTGTTTGCTTTCTAAACCAGTATCGCTTCCTTTTTTCCTAGCAATCCAAGACAGGAAGCTGGAAATCGTCGACACATTGGGAAGAAAAGTAAACATGGATGAATTCACGGAGGTGAGAAATGAAATAAGAGCATCTGATCCAAGACGTGATGTTTATCACAAAGTAGTAGCATTTGCCAGGGGACAGCTGAGTAAGTGAAGGGCTTCACTTCCCCACCAGCCCAGATAACTCGTTGTATCGGGACACTTCATGCTCCATCTCCGTATCCATCCTTTGCTGTCACAACGCTTCTGTTGGGGCCTGCAAGGGAGAAGTATTTCACTCTGCTGGGAGCTGCAGCCTGTGCCACCCTCCGAGGAGTTGCTCTAGAAGCAGTGGGGCTGAGGACATTCTTCAGTGCCTTTCTAGAATGCCAAAGCCCTGAGTCTCCTGTGAATTCAGACTTCGCATTGGCTGCTCAGGGGAGGTTCGGTGTCCCAGTGTAACCATTAGCCACCTAGTACTGGCTCCCAAGTACTGTTATTTCTGATTAAGTTCTATTAACCATAGAAAAACCTACCAAGTGATGTACTGGGATGAGGAGCTCTACCATTCTTACCCTGAATTATTCCTGGCCTGAACCATAACCAAACTGCAACAAGTTGAAGAAAGGCTGAGAGAACTGGGCTTGTTCAGCCTGGAGAAGAGAAGGCTCCGGGGAGACCATAGAGCCCCTTCCAGTGCCTGGGGGGGCTACAAGGAAGCTGGGGGGGACTTTTTACAAGGGGAGGGAGTGAGAGGACAAGGGGTAATGGGTTTAAACTGAAAGTGGGGAGGTTTAGATTAGATATCAGGAAGAAATTCTTCCTGGAGAGGGTGGGGAGCACTGGGACAGGTTGCCCAGAGAAGCTGTGGATGCCCCATCCCTGGAAGTGTCCAAGGCCAGACTGGATGAGGCTGGGAGCAACCTGGTCTGGTGGAGGGTGCCCCTGCCCATGGCAGGGGGTGGGACTGGATGATCTTTAATGTCCCTTCCAACCCCAACCATTCTGTGATTCTATGATAAGTGTCATGTGATTCTATGATTCTATGATAAGTGTCATAAATGTGTGAGCAGCATAACCAGGCTGAAAAATACAGAGTTTTAAATCAAAAGCTGTCACTGAGAAACATCAGAAGTGTGTTTTTAAATCACCAAACTCCGTAAATGTAATTTGAAGTTTCACCCCGTTACTCTACTCTTCATCAATTTGAAAACAACCAAATCAATTCAAACTATATTTACTGAAAAACTCTCCAGGCCAAGACTTCGCCAGCCGTTTCTACCTACGACAGAGCTAAATGTTATGGCTGGGTAATTAAACCTGTGAAAAGGGATGTCTAGAATAGAAATAGTGACAGATCGTCAACGGCAGCAGTGCTGGTGGGTGCTGTTACAATAATTAAAAACAGAGCATAAAGCAGCTGCGCAGAGACTCATTTCAAGCAACCATGTGTGATTTTTGTGCCTTCTTTGCTCTCAGGAGACTCACATGTTGGGTATTTTGCAGAGAGATGCATTTTTATGATAACTTGTTGAAGGCTTTCTTAAGCATGAAATGAGGTATTTTTACATTTAACCTCAGAATAACTGCATTTAATTAAGAAAACTATCGTGGATAATGGGAGCCTAGAGGATTGCTTTTGTCACTGAAATAAAGCATCAATCCCTAGCCCCTGTGGCACATGCAGAAGCACTGAATGAATTCATGGTCCATTAGCATTAGAAAAATGTTTTTAAATATATTTTGTGTACTCTTTAACTCAGTTGAAGACATGACAACGGAGATCAGAAGTACAAAGGATTCGGACAGTCAGGCTGTCTGATTTACCAGGGCAACCTTGTTCTCAGAATAGGTTCCCTGATGCTTTTTCCAGTCCGGTTTTAGTAGAATCAGAAGATGAGGCTTTCATCACTTCCCTTGGGGTCTGTTCCCTCATCGCCGCCTGGCTCTCGGGACAGAGCTGTTTGTGATCCTTAGCTACGGTTTACCTTTGTTCACCAGTCTGCACCATCCACCAGAACCGGAGGAGATCATCTATCTGCCTCCGTACGGGTCTCGGCCCTTCACATGTGGAAAGCGTTGCTTTTTAACGGACCTTAACATTAAATGGTGCTCTTTTTTTTTTCCTTTTGAATTCAGTGCAGCTTTGGGTTACTTAACTCTCTTAGAAACTCAGTAGCAAGACCTCACACACTGTTGCTGGGTTTCAAGGCGGGAGGGGGATTCGGACGTGCAAAACAGCGGCTGTTGAATTTTTGCATCCCTTGTGACAAGCTTGGGGGGTCGTTTATATTAGAAGCGTTTAAATCCCAGAACCCAGCCCTCACCAGTTTATCTCACAGGCTTTCTACTCTCACATGCAGAACCCCCAGCAGCTTCACACAAAGCTACTGGCACCAAGAGAAATTTTGCCTTTGTAGGGTCAGAATCAGGCTCTGAAGCTGAGATTGTTTTTCGTGGCTGCATGGGGCTTCCGCAGTTTCTACTGGGATCAAACAGAAAGCAAAGATCCATTGTTACTGACGCTAATGTGTTCACAAACTACGGCGAGGTCTCGCGCTGGACAGCGAGGAGGAGGTGTGCCAGCTTTCTTCTGAGGGGTGTCAGAATCTTTTGGTCAGTAATAAATAGATGTACGCTTATGATGCGTACGGTACCTTACACAGAAGAGCGCTTTACAGACAGCAGCTGAGAAAAGCTTGTGTCTCTACGATAGTTCCTCCTGCCCACGCAGCGAACACACGCTCTAAAAGCATTTCTGTGGAGCTGTTAGACAGCAGTCCTAACACACAGGCCTCTGGATGTATCACCAAGATGACATCTAAAATAACAAGCTGCTTGTCCAACCTGCCTCCTCCCAACTCCTCTTCAAGGTTCATCTGTCATGGGCCTCCGGGTGGTAACAGCTCTGAAAAGCTGGGGGGTACAGGTAGCCCCAGATCTGCCAGCTTCTCTCCAACCCACCTACTTTCTCTCTTTTTATGCTGAAATGCTGAATTGCATGAGCTCTTCCTTCCCACCGGCTGCCCCTCAGGCCATTGGCTGCAGCTTTTCTGCTCTTTCTCTTCTCCACTTGTCCCAGATATTAGGAAATTATGCCATGTAGACATGAATAATAATAACATATATTAATATTCCAGTTTGTTCATGCCTGTGCGGCATTTCAACAAGTCCAAAGATGTTCTAGCCTCATGTCAGGTATCCCTACCCTAAAAATGGGATAATAGGAAACATTCTGTGTTTTGCAAATTCCTCCTTTTAACTGTATGGGCTCCCTGCTCTGGGGACTGGCTCCAGAAACGGCTTTAATCATTCAGCACAGGCTTTGGGATTGTGGTTTGTTCTGATGGCCATTATTATTTATGTCGTGCACACCACATTTTTAGAACCATATTGCTTTTGCTTATAAAAACCACATGGCTATAAATCCAAAGTGTTAAAGTGTCTCCAAGGCTAGAACTTAAAATAAATCTCGAGTCAGTAGTATGCCCAGTGTCAGAGGACTTAGGGGACAGCAGGCTCATTTTCAAAAGGCTCTCTCCTGGTTTTATTGTATGCAGACCGGTTCTCTAAACACAAGCTGTGGGCATGTTGCGGCACTAGAGTTGAATGACTGCAAAAACTAATGGCTCAAAATGCCTCCTCGGGAGTAAAGTCAGGAATAATAAATGCTGCAGAAAACCATGGAGAATTTACATCCTCCCTGAGAGAACCCACCTTAAGCAATGACTTTTCATGGGAAGGATTCTGATCCGGCATCTCTGAACCCGTGAAGGTGATAAGTGACCTCTGGGCCAGGAAAGGAACTGCCTGATAGGCACCGTGCAGTGCCCGGTGCGGCAGCGTCGCAGGCGTGCTGCAAGTATCGCTGCCGCGGAAAGAAGAAAGCAGGCAGCATAGCATCCATGCACCAGGTTTGCATGACGCTGGCAGAATAAACTAGAAATTCCCATATATTTCATTGTGTGCAGTAGAGTTTTAGGAGTTCAAATGAAGGTGAAAATGCTTGAAGAAAGCTGACCATTTGCACTGCCACTTTTTCTCTGCAGTATGTCCATTCCTGCACTGAATATTTTTCAAATGACACGTTCCAAGAAATCCTGAAGCATCTGTGTCAGTGTGCTGAGGACTTCCGGGATGCAACGAGATGTGATACATGGAGGCAGATGTTTACTGATCTCTTCCTAGATTGTGATTATGGAAAGGTAGGCAAAGCAGCTCTCAACCTCATTTCAGTAAGGTGATGCTTCCAGTTTGGTATTTCTGTGGGCCCCTGCCTTCCTTTTTATTTGTCAGACATTCTCTTTGTGCTTACTCAGCATTATTTTTGAGGACAATAGCTGCTGCCTTGTCTTCAAATTCAGTTTGTAGACACAGAAATAGCCAATAGCCTGTAAGCTGATGGCTAATTAGAAACGGAATGACCTAATGTGATGACTCGGGGCTGAAGTTTGATGATTCTGGGGAAGAAATTAACCCCAAACTTTATTACTTGTGGTCAATAGCTGTTCCCACAGCACGTTCAGAATATTTGGGTGCTAATTTGTCTATTCAGCTGTACTTCAGAAAAGATAACCGGATACAGACTGACCTTAACAAATGTGCACGTTACTGCAATAGTAACATATATTGTGTTAATTATGTTGGGTTAATTTATACACCTTCAGGGCTTCTATCATTAAATCTCATAACAGTTTAAATTTAAAATGCAAAATAATCTATCTTTACAACCTCTCTGGGAAATGTACAGTGAACTTCAGCCACAGTTTATGGGCAGGAAATTAAAATACAATGAGTCAGTTACAGAGCTGAAACTGGAACTCGAAAGCCATAATTCAGCAGCTCTCAACTCGGTCTGTCGCCCTCTGAATATACCTGCATCCCCATTAAAAAGAAAAGCTAGACTTATCAGAAAACCAGTAAATCGTAGGAGCTGAAGAATCAGTGGCATAAGCTATCGCTAAAAACTTGGGCTTCATCCAAAAAGTGTGTAGTAGCCTCAGTTAGCCAGTTGCTGGCTACCACACAGAAAACAGTTGCCATAATCTTACCATTTTGTCCCCTAGATAACATATATTCCACCCAGCACTCCTTCAGCGGTGTTTGCAGCATGCCTACCCAGAATGAACCGTGCTCTCGCACTAATAACGTCATTACCTCTCAGAGAATGGAATTCCACAGAGCGTTTCTACACCAGTGGTGTGTGTTTGAGAATAGCAGGCAAGCTGCTGGTTCAGGGGCGAGGAAAGAAATGTGTCTGCTGCTCAGGAGACATTTCATTTTCCCATTGCTCTGTCAAGAAGAGCTACGATGGATCCTCCTGGGCAGAGTTATATATATAGCAGAGTCCTGTCTCGCCACGCCATTGGAAAGGATCCCTTCTTTCCCTCTCATGTTTTAATGTGACTTTCTTCCTATTATTTCTGTGGCAGTAATCGCCATCTCCACGCTACTAATCCCAGTGGAATCTCAGAGGCAAAGAGCCAAAAATGCTGGCATAACAAGAGCGAGCAGCTCTCAGCGCAGACGCCATCGCTGCCCAGAAAAGAACGGTCGGAGCGCAAACCCGGGTGCTGTTTCTAGCCTGCGAGGTAGCCTCGCTCTGCAAATTGGGTTCACTAAACCGTAGCGTGGACCGCGCAGCGCTTTTAAACCTGACCTGGTTTCTTTTGTGGAGCTCTGATAAGTCCTGCTGCAGTGTACCCACAGGGAAGACAAACAAACTAACCCAAGGCTTTCTACCCCTTGAATGTGATCCATTACCTGTACTACTCATTCTGCAAAGCACAGCCAAGCAGTTGTTTCGGTTCCTGATTTACATTTGTTTGGGAGCGGGCAGTTCTTCCAGTCTGCATGGTGAGTGTGGCTGGCTGCCTCAGTGAGCTGCAATTAGGGCCAGGGAGCTGAGAAAGCAGGGTTTAAATTACAGTCAGATGAGAAGGTATCCACATGATCGTTATGATGATTTCAGATGCTTGCATCCAGAAGGATGGCAGCTCAGCCAGAACAGCCTGGGCTATACAGGGATGCAGAAACTCCCTGAGACAACCCCGGAACACAGTTGAATCACAGCTCTAATGCCCAAAAAGACACAGCTCTGTGAATTTTAAGCTTATTGTGTCTCTGCGCTCATGTGCATCAAGTGTAGTTTCTTTTATACGTAATAACAGAATCTGCAGTAATTTTCAGGGATGTTTTAAGCCCAGGATCTTTAGATGGAACTGAATTTAGTTAGAGATTGGTTTTCAGCCTAATGCAGTTGGAGACACTTGTGATTACCTTCCTCGCAGTACAGCAAGAACTGTCTTCCCATCGCCTTTGGCGAGCGCCTTCCCATCTTGCTCGCTAACAAGCGGATTGCGTCGTTCAAGACACGTCCCATTTCTAGAAAAACCATCGGGCGGTTACACGCTGACCTCTCTCTGAAGTCTGGTTTCGTCTATGTTGCTAGAGGAATTACTCACAGATCCCAGAGCATTGCTGAAAACGCCTGCAAATCATCACCTGCCAGTGTCTAGGTGACAAGGAAATTAGGCCAACATGTTTGCACCCTCCAGCCGGGAAAGCTGGTGCTGGTTCAGAGTGGAGACCAGTTTTGGGCGGTTGCACAAACACAGATGGCCGGCTGCCATCGATGGCGGATGCTGAGCCTGTCCTGCCGACAAGACTCGGTATGAAGGGCTGATGGGCAGAAATCTTCCATCAGCCTCCCCGGTCACACACGAAGTACAATCAAACATGACCCTTCCTAGTAAATTTGGGAACTCGGAAAGGTAGGGCAGCTGGGGGTATGTCGTGGTTAGCCAAAACCAGCGCAGGACAGGACCTCAGAAATTGTTTTCTGTTGTAAGGCTCCTTCCTCCTGTAGACAGCTTTGCTGTGAGATGTTCCTCCCCAGGTAATATGTCAGGAAAAGTGTCCTGAAACAACAGGGATCTCTGGTAGACTGGAAAATCTGTATAAATTGTAAATGTTAAAACAAGGTCCAGAGGAGGCCATGAAGATGATCAGAGGGCTGGAGCACCTCTGCTATGATGAAAGGCTGAGAGAGTTGGGCTTGTTCAGCCTGGAGAAGAGAAGGCTCCGGGGAGACCTTATTGCAGCCTTCCAGTGCCTGAAGGGGCTGCAAGGAAGCTGGGGGGGACTTTTTACAAGGGTCTGTAGTGGCAGGACAAGGGGTAACGGGTTTAAATTGAAAGTGGGGATGTTTAGATTGGATGTCACAAAGAAATTCTTCCTGGAGAGGGTGGGGAGCACTGGGACAGGTTGCCCAAAGAAGCTGTGGATGCCCCATCCCTGGAAGTGTCCAAGGCCAGGCTGGATGAGGCTTGGAGCAACCTGGGCTATGAAAGGTGTTCCTGCCCCGGGCAGGGGGTGGGACTGGGGGGGCTTTAAGGTCCCTTCCCACCCAAACCAGTCTATGATTCTATGATTCTATAAGGTGGAAAATATACCCTGATTTGTATTTGGTGATTTCTGCAAAGGAATTTACTATTTTTAACAATATATAAATCTGAAATTGTTTCATCTAAACCACAAAATACCTCCTAGAGTCTGAGTTTTCTAAATCCTCCAATTATATTATTTTAACATGACAAAAAGTATCTGAATCTCAAAACAACATTTCTATTTTCTTTTTAATAATATGTCATTCCTTGATTTACCTTGTAAATAAAATCAAGCTTTGTGTTAGTGCTGCCAGCTTCACGGCACCCTGTGACAAGCAACAGCTGAGGAAGTTTAATGGGAAAACTGAGCGTGTGTAATGGCAATGCTGAATGGAGAATCCCAATATTCTGCAGTGATGTGGTAACATCAACAACACGTTCTGTGCTTTGTATCTACTAAATGGATGCGGAGCCCGAGCTGATACATTCAACTGCCAAACGAACAGCATCGAGAGGTGTCTGCATGGGAGCGTCCAGAAGATGAAGATACTGGGAGTGCTGTAAGTGTAGGGACAGGACTATATGATATTTGTTGTTCCAAACCCACAGATGGCTGAAACTCAACTGTAATTTTTTTTTTGAATTAAGTTACCAGAGTCTGATACACCACAACTGGGCGGGACGGCCGCTTACGTTTCAGTTCTGAGCCTTTCCTCAGAGTTTGCACAAAGCTTGCAATTCCCTGTCAAGGGAAGGTGTTGCAGTAACAGAAAATGCGATGTATTCATTCAGTTTTCAGTACTAAGCTCCTTGGGAGGCACCTCACCAAGAGGCGATGCGCATCCCTCAGTTGTTTTCAAATCCTCTGTTCCTAAACATCGATGCCATTAATTACGGCTTTAGATTATAAACAATGCCGTTATCTTGAGCTCCTTTCCAGAGGAGAGCAGCAAACTTCTTCCTATATTTCCACAGCCTCGGGGCAGGAAAAGTTCACAAGGAATTAAAACTTTGGTGAATTTTTACATTTTGCAGTTTTTGATCTCAGAGCAAAATGTGGAAAGGAAATCAATAAACCAGATAAAAAGCTACGCGCTACAAATAATGAACTTAAGTAAATCTGTTTGCTAATTACTATATTTCACTGATGGGAGGGATATTACAAGGTGGCAGGACTTAATGACAACAGGAATTCATCATAAAATGGAAAACTTGCCATCATTTAGGTTCGCTTTACTTTTTAAACTCACAATTTCCTGATTGGAAATGACCCATTTCATCGTCTTTTCCTGGGTTTATTGTCTGTATACACTCACCCTGCACAGCAAGGGCTTGATAAACTCTGCTTGTTCCTCTGCACTCGAACTGCGGATACCTCTCTCACCTCTGTGGTCAAATGTGTATGACTTCTTAAGGGAAATAAGGGAGGTTGTCATAATAACTCACATTTTTGGACTAATTATTTTCCCAGGCAGTTGCCAAAACGTAATACTTCAAAGGCGATGACGGAGCACAAACTACAGATGTGTAGTCACTGACACAATACAGCACAGCCCATAATATGTGGAAATTCTTCCGTAGTACTGTCAGGCAATCAATATCTGTCCTGAAAGTGTGAAATGTTGAAGCTTTGATCTCTACATGAAGAACTCCTTTGGCAGAAGTGGTTACAGTCCTCGCACCATGGGTTCCCAGGAATACACACGAGGATGTGCCTGCACAGCAGGATGTGTGAGGGGTTCCAGCTATGCCCAGGGGAGAAATGTTGCCCCTATGAAATAAATTCACTTCTTTGAAATTGGTACTGATGTTCTGCTAATGGATAATTTTCAGTCACAGGTACTTCTCAGCTAATGGTGCCTTTGTGGTGCCGCAAATGGTGATGTAAGTCCCAAGAACCCCGGGAAAAACCCAGTAATTGTCATCTTTTTGTCTAGGTTGGTCTCTTAGACAGACAAAAAATACTCGCCCTCCTGGCAGACTTCTACGACAGAAGCCCTGTGACGGCCAAGAGGGGACTCTGTCACCCAGGACAGTGTAAGTGGCATGTTCCAGTGGTGGTTGAATCATTAGGAGCTCGAGTGAGGTTGTAGCGTTAAAATACGGTTTAGAAGCGTTACCAGAAGCGAACAGAGCTGACAAAAGGACCCAAATGAACGCTGGGACCTATACACCGTGATTTGCAAATGTCTTTTGCAAACTGTGGTGCAGTGTTCAGGATGTGCGGCATCCAAACCTTTTCCCTCCGACAAAATTCCAAAGTTCTTTTTGGAAGTAAGATTAAAGAGAGACTACTTTTCCTGCAACAACTGTTCTTTCTTACTGGGCAACATTAGAAGTTATTTTTTTGTTTACACTGAAATTTCTCCAGGAACATGGAAGGATAAAACCACAAAGAATCGTTTACATGAAAGTAAAATGGTTTTAAGTGTTTGGACATTCATTAATCGCTAAGCTCAAACACAGGGGAAATTATAGCTTTCCTTCTTAGTATGGAGACTTATGAAACACGTTTATTCCAAAGGAAATAGGGTGCAATACACAACAGCAAGTGTGGTTCTCTGCAGGCAAAGACATCACTCTGGAGGTTTGTGTTTCCGGGATGCACCTTTGCAGAAGGTACTTCCCGACAGTTTATGTCGGCTTGGGAATACCTTTGTTCTTTAAATTTTCTTGCGCAGTGCTAGAGAACATAAACCCAATGCAAACTATCAACATGTCAATATTTTGTCTATTTTAGGGCCAATAATTGAGCTGCAGGAGATCGAGCTTGCGGATTTATGGGGAGGCCCTGATGGCCAGGAAGTGTGTGAGGAACTCAGTGGGAAGTTAGTCTTGTCTCCAGCAGGAATTTCCAAGGGAGAGATTTCAGCACATGAACCCGTAGATGGTAACGGACAAGTCACGTCTAGAATGAGAAGTAAGGTCAGCAAAGGTCTTTCTGAACAAATTGGCCTGAGTGAAGCTGAGGCTGGAGGAATTTCTACAGGAGAAAACCAAGCAGCCGAATCAAGTGCTGCTGAAGGGAGGAAGGAGGGTGAGGACGCTGTGTCAGCGGAGAAAAGCACTGATTTTGGAGGCTGTGATTTGGATGGAGATGCCATGCGTCGCGAGAAATCCAGTTTCCATGAAGACATCAAAACTGAGAGACGAAGTGAGTCTGCCAGTGCAGGCAGACGGGAGGAAGCTTTCTTGGGGTCAGCATCTACCCGGTACAGTCTCAGTGGAGATGGAGAACCTGGATCTGAAAAACAGGTGGAGAAGAAAGAATTTAGCCTGGGTGGGGAGCCTGATACAGAAACAAATAGGGAAGAAGATGGTTGTGTCTCAGACAGAGATCCTGGCTCAAAAGCACCAGTTAGTCAGGAGAACTGGATTACAGAGATGACCAGCACAGTTTCAGCACCACCACCTGAAGCTACAGCCATCACCTCAGAAGACAGAGCTGTGGCAGATGTGGATGCCATTGACTCCGAACAGGACGCTCCAGTGGCAGAAGTCGTGAAGGAAATCCCTGCCAGAAAAGGGAGTTTTTCTAGGCAGCATGGCAGCCAGTTTGGCCAAGAGATAAGCTCGGAGAGAAGACCGCAGGATGAGGACCTTCTGCAAGACCAAGGCAAAGGTAAAGCATTCTCCTTTATTCTGGCAGACCTCGATCTTTTTCAACATATATTTTTGAACTGGTTTATAGGTGTGTTTTTAATCCATTTCAAAACTATTGAAAGTGAGTGATTCCTGAGCACACACCACGAGATCTGATACCTTCGCAGCGTGGTGTTCTCTGCCAAGGCTGCAGTGTGTTCCTCTGGCAGGTGAGTCACTTCCCTGGTGATCTGTGTTCGAGGCACGGAGCAGGCACTATAATTCAAGTAGGGACTGTCTGAAGCAGCAGCAGCATTTTTATAATAAGGAAAAACTTTATGTTCTGTTTCACTCTGTAATATTAGTGTACCAAATGGGAGCCTGAGCATGTTAAATCTAGGAATTACTTTTAATCATTTTAAACTGTGATTGCCCTTAGGGAGATACAGTATGGGTTCATACAGCCTTTTACTTTAACCTCTCACTGTGATTCCCAAGGAATATCATACTTCTTAATTGTGTACAGGAGCCCTTGTTCTAGGCAGGCTGTGATCAGGCAAGTGTGTGTTTCCTGAATCAGTCATTTCAGCTCACCTGTATTCAGTGATTTGGCCCGGTTGTATGACAGCATCCGTGCTAGACTGGAGCTTAAATCTGAAGGGATGCTATTCGAAAGCGTAAGCAGATTAAGGCCCGTAGTCAGGATGGAGTCGGTCCGTGTTCAGCCATACTTTCACTGGGTAGGAAGGGCAGGATTCAGGACTGCTTTGATATCTGCCGCGTGGCTGGTTTTAGGACAGCATTTGGCTTCACGGCGCTTTCTGCCTTTCAGACTTACGTCCCATCGTGGCAGAGATTCAGAAGCGCCGTGCTTCTCCTCCTAGGAGTGCCTTTGATGAACGCTGCCTCAACCTGCCACAGTTCGTACAGCTCATGGAGACATTTGTTGGTGAGGACATTTCTCTGCCTACCGTGGAGAGACTTACTGCATTCATCAAGGAAGAATACGAACAGACAGAAGAGGAAAAAATGGAACAACTAGAAAAAGTAAATAATGATAAGTTTTGCTGATCCCATGTCCAAACAAAAACAAGCCAATGCCTGCAGAATCTGACACAGTCAGCTTTCAGTCTCACGCTGGCAGAACTTTTCATTTGCAGCCTTGCATTCCCTTCAAGAGGCCTTTTACCCCTTTGCTTTCATACGGATTTTCCCTCCCTAGCCTTTAGCTCTGGAAGTGATGACAGACTCATCCTGTAAGAGGTTGTCTGTCTGTTCTAGAGCTGGATTCAGTGGGACAGCAGGTTGATAGTTAATTGTGAAAGAGCTCAAAACATTCCATTCTGCTTATTCACCTTTGTAATAGCCAAGAACCTCATCTCTGACCTACTGCACCGGCAGGTACATGTGAGGTTGTGGATGTTTCAGGGAGGATGTTAGAAGAAGCGTGTTTGGTTTTGCTGTGTGTATGTGAACGTGCACGTGCTTCTTGGCTTTTACGTTACAAGGTGCTCTTGCCATGTGTTGAAAAACACCCCCTTCAGCACCGGGGTGCCCTGTGTCACTTCAGAGTACAGATGGATTTCGTGGTGGCTCTGTCCGTAGTAGCCTCGATCTGCGTTTTCCTCCGATCTCTTTCTAGTTTCCCTCTGTGCTGCTGACCTAATTTGGATGAGGTATTGGATCTGACGGCTCTTCTGTCCTCAGCTGAACACAACACACGCTGCCAGTATTTTGGCCTTTGAGAGAATTCCAGCCAGCCATTTCTCACTGTACGCTGTGCAGGCTGGTTTTAAAGGACAGATGGTACATGCATTTACTTGGAGCCCACACACTGCAGGGCAGCACCAGCACAGTAACAATGCATGGGAATACAGACTGGCACATCTTTGGGTTGTGCTCACAAGGCTGTGGTTAGTCCTTGCTGAGAAGGCACTTGTATCCTGGGAAACTTCCACGTCCCTGAGCTGATCTCACCTTAGATCCAGCATGGGCTGCGTTGGGTCACTGTGAAATAACCCTCCGCAGTGCTGACTCTGCTGATAAAACTGAACTGTCGGCTGTGTTTAGTGTTTCCAAATATCTCCCAGGTTTAATGGCTCATCTCCAGATCTGAGCTGTCTGCGTATGGATTTGGCCTGGCCCACGGGCATTAGGTGACCGCTGCAGTTTCCATACTTGTGTAGACACAAGATCACAGACCAGCTCTTCCTCTCTTGTAGGTTCGTCACATGTCTCGCTTGGCCCGACGGAAACTGCTTCTGGAGGCTCTTTTTGAAAGGTGGGATAACAATGCGTCTGGGTTCCTGGCACTGGAAGAGGTGGATGCTGTTCTAAGCACATTCAAGGAAGGGATGGAAAAAGAGGCCGTGAGGAAGGGTAAGGACACAGCTCTGCTGTGAGAACAGTGTCAACACATTGGGCCTTAAACCATCCAACAACAGCACTAATGAAGCTGTTGGCAAGCACCAGTCATTTTTTTGTTTGTGCAAGCAGTCACAAGCAAGGTACGATGTATAAAATGAAAAGGAACAGGTATCCAGAGCTGGTTTTTAGGCATAGCTCCATCCTCTCCTCCTGTGCGAGACTCCCCTGTGACAGATTTCCAGTCAGAGGTATCTCAAAGCTTCCAGGACACTGTGATCTGTTGAAAAGTTGTTTCGGCTGTAACATGCAATGTCTTGTGATATGGGGGTGAAAAACAGGCGTAGAGCCTGAGGACACCTTTCACATTTTTAGTCTGGTCCGTCTGTTATCCAGCTGTTTCTAATAGACATATTTTACTGTGCAATCTGCAGGCTTGTACCTCGCAGGAGACACCACCAGCTTTCCTGTGGGTCTGAAATGGCTGGTGGTAATCCACTCTGTTGCACAGCTCTCCTCAATTAGACAGCAACTTCGAGTCTCACGTCTCTGTTGGTCCCAGTAAACTTAGCAAATTTGGTCCCTGACAGAAGGTCAGACAGAAATGCTGCAGGTTCACCTGGACCTGTCTGGCAGCCTCATCCATAGTAACACGTGGGCATCGGGTGCTCTGAAATACTTTATTAGCAATTAAGAACATGTCTGCATGTGTGCTTGGATGGGGAGGACTGGTTTATTCGTGGCCACGCGTGTCTTCACGTCGCTTGTTTTGCCACACGTTACTGAAAAAGGCTCGTTTTGGCAACAACCAAAATCACTTTATTCTTCAGCTCACCCGAGGCAGCTGGTGGGGCGGGGAGGGCACCGGCATGATACACGTAATTGTCTCCTGGCTGCACAGCCACCGAAGAGACAGGTGGTTTACAGCCCTCCTGTATTCCAACCATGCCAGAACACACTACAGAAATACGTAGGACATAGACCCTTCCTTGAAGGGCTCATAAACTGAAGCACAAACAAATAAATAGGTAGCGTAGCAAAATCAATACCACCTACAAGCAATGTAAAACTGTTTCTAGCAGCTTCAGCCTAATGTCTCACAGACCTCGTGGAAGAAGCAGGTTTGGGGGAAGGTTTCACAGGCGTTGCGCTCCTCCTGGATGAAAACAGAGTGAAAAGTGGGTAGAATTATTTGATTTTCCCTGTAGGTGAGAAGTGTAACATTACAGATAAAATGGGGGAAAGGCTTCATTACGCTGTGGCTCAGTAATGAAGGGACTGATCATGCCGTGTTCAACTTCACACGTATGTATTTCTTCAAAGGCAGGAGAAAGTGGGGGTGAAAATCCAAACATTTTTATACGATCAAAAAATTCTCCATCCTAGTTCTGTCAGAAAATCAGAACCTAAATTATAAAATACCAAACGTCCTTTAGATGATCAGC